CAGCCACCGAGTTCACCAGAATTGGCCCCCTGCGATCCTTTCCTCTGCTCAAAATTGAAAAGACTCATGAAAAGACGGCCTTATCGAATATTTTCGAAAATATTACAGATTCAAAATGCAGGGACACATGTGTGGCGGAGGTACCAGCCGGGGGCCGTCAGCGCGTGCCTATAAATAGCGCTTCGAAGGCCGCGGTTCGTCCTGTGCGTAAGGGCCGCCGTAAACGCTCCAAGATATGTACTGAATAGGTACATATTCCGGGATCTAGACCTAAACATACATTACGTAGACGCAAATAGGAGAAAACACGCAGAGGACACGTTTGACAGACAGCGACACGACAATTCAGCGCTAAGCGATCTATACAATGCACTGAACAGGGATGACCCCAGATTCCAAGAGAGAGACAAACACAGGAGGCCAACGAAGCAGAACCAGAGACCACCCCGGAGAGTCGCTATCAGGCGGCTCCGGTAAGTAAAAAAAATTTCTAATCAGATTTAAATTCATCTCATTTTCAGATTCACTGAGAAACAAAACTTGCTCACGACATAAAGACACTCGGTTAGTTTTTGGCGACCCCATGCAAAAATTTAGTTAGGAAAGTCATGATTAAAGCAAACATTAGATCAGAAAGTAAAAGCACCTAAAGGCTGACTTTCGACCAAAAGAGGTCAGAGGACCGCTCCGGAGGATCGGGGGTGGATGGACGAGATTAGATGTTCTGCACACAGTAACCGTGTGGAGAATATTGCAATTCAGGGCGCTCAACCCGGGAGGGGGCATGGGGGGCGCATGGGGAGGCATGATTAGCAGCGGTCGCACGCGTTTATCGGAGGAGTATCAGTAATAGTATAACCATTGCATCCGTGCGGAGCTGGGCGGGTGCTAGTAATACATATGTAGAATTTATGATGGTTCAAACTTAGTAACTTCATGTCCCATTCATTTAAATATAAAAGTGATATTCCTAGAAAGTTAATTCTGACATCCCTATGAAAGATGACGTGTTACAAAAATGGTTACTCCTGTTTTTTTCCCAAGTATTCATTAAGTAGTTCGCCCTGCGTAAGATTTGAAAGAAATAACAGAGTAAGTAGCTTTGGTGGAAAGAGCTTCCCACGCAGCAAGGTACCACGCGATGAAAACACTTGTTGTGGATTGTTCTAACTACTAATGATCCCTAAAATAGTTGTCAAAATTCACAAGTTCAGAAGGGGAGAGCTGCATAGTTATAGCTGGTCATTGAGGTTTTGAAATTGGGGTTTTTATTCAATACATTTATTTCCAATACCTCCAATACATTCATCTCCCTTACTTTATTGCACGTATTGAGAATTTGCTTGTTTTCTTTATTTATTGTGTGATTTGTTCCTTGTAGATGTCCATATATGGTTGATTTTTCTATAATACATAATAATATGTAATTATTATACATGCTCATGGTATCTTATGTTGAAATTTCCGGCTATCTAGCCTGTATAAGCTGCTGAACAGTCACCACATTCTAGTCTATATATGCTCGATTTTTTTCCACTTGGATAACATGTTCCTTAGATCATTCTTAGTAATAAATAATATTATTATTGTTGTCAATCATCTCCTAAAAAATAACGCCGGCCGCCGCTGGTCGTCATAAATTGATTGTGACGTGACCAAGACCACGCCCAACTCGACGAGCGCTCGCGACCGTTCTACCGGCTATGATAGACTTCTGAGGAATTCTTTACCGGTTTCGGGATAGTTCGTTTGCTGTATATAAGAGCGACGCACATCGAGATCGTGGAATTCAAGTTTAGTGGACAGTGCGGTACAGAGCGCTCCAATAAGGCGATAGGCATTTGAAAAATCGAGTTCGATTAATATACAGTGTAGTCAATTATCATTAAGTCCACGGGAAAACGTAATATCATGTTAAATTTGAAAAACAGTTTTTTATGTTTTCGGAGAGCTTTCTCGAATAGCTGATGCTAGCATATTTTTTAGCTTCTTTAGGTTCATCATAATTTGAATGAAGTTCNTTCTCGAATAGCTGATGCTAGCATATTTTTTAGCTTCTTTAGGTTCATCATAATTTGAATGAAGTTCGTTCCTGAATTTTCGGTTTTCATTGGAGATTAGTTTCTCAATTGAGTTGACTGGAATATTGTTATTAGATGCTATCTGTTTTATGATCTTCATTTCTCCTTGGAAAACCATCTCTGATGACCGAATCATGAATGACAGAAACGAAGTATATATACATGAAGAACATGAAGAACCTTAAGAAACTGACAAATAAGCATAAGCTATTCGGGAAAGCTCGCCGAAAACATAAAAAACTATTTTTCACAAAATCAAACATAAATACATTATTTCCTAGTAAAAATAATTCAGGAAACGTGTAATTTAACGCAAAACCCAAAAGGCATAAATGGAAAATATTGGTCATATACAAGGTATTCCATATTCGATGGTCTATTAGACGTATCTAGGGAACAAAAAAGATGAGAGTTTTAAATTTTGGTCACCGATTTGAATGGTTGAGATCTATCGTTTGAAGATATTTTCATTACCGCAATGTTGCCACATCTACATGTAATAGACATCAACTTGGAAATTCCAAATAGAACACCGTATATATTATGTCATTTTTTAATTCTGCATCAAAATTCAAATCACTTTTGTTGAACATATTCTATACCTATCTCTCTTCGTTTTCAAATTATTGATTATTTTGTAATTTTTTTTGGCGAAAACATGGTATTTTTGATATTTAATATCGCAAGAAATAACTGATACATCGAACTCAACTTCTGGCAATATTGAGATAAGATATAGTGGTTGTTATTTCAGAACGGAACTCAAATCTTATTTTATATAGAGTGTCTGAAAAATACGTCTCTATTTGTATCTTTGATAAACGACCATAACTAATTTTTTTCAAATGGAATACCCTGTGTATTATTCAATTTTTGAATTTAGCCAACCAATGTGAACAACTTTGATCGACTATGTCCTATACCTATCTCTAACCATTTATGAGATATGAACTATTTAAAAAAAATGCTCCTATGCAAGCATAACATTTCCAATAAAATCAAAAATGAAGTGCATAATACACACATTCTTAAAATTTCAGCGTAGGTCTCGGGCCTTCGAAAATTCACACCTTCAATACATATGGTGTAACTTTTTCTATTTCCAATCATCTACTCGAATATCAAAAAAGTTTCAAACATTAATTTTGAATTTCACAACACAATTTCGGCAAGGATAATGGTGTGTCATGATCTAAGTCTGATTTAGAAAACAAAATAAAGGATTTGACAATGACTGATTCAAAACTAATTAATACAGTTTATTATATGATTTTCACTATAAAGGATTTTACAAAAACCACGACACGCGTTTCGCTATACAATAGCTTTCTCAAGCGTAAACTGTCCGACTGTCATATTGACAGTAGGTAGTGAGTCCGGTGACTTGTGATGTGGAAAATTGAAAGAACATTTCACGATATTTTTATGCTTATCCTCATACATCAGTATCTAGTGTTGTGGTTGATTTGGGAATATCTCGAATTTCTATATGGAGAATTTCACAAAAACATAATATGCATGACTATAAATCAATTGGGCTGCAAGTTTTGCATAAATATGAATCACCAAAACGGGTAGAATTTTGCGAAATGGGACTAACATGGACATACGAAGATCCAAACTTTTTGAAAAAAATAATATGGACTGAGGAATCACAATTTTAACGTGAGGGAATATTCAATTGTCGAAATAATCACTTCTGAGCTACGTATTTTTTAGACACTCTTTATGAAATAAGATTTGAAATCCATTCTGAAATAATAACCACCAAATCTCATCTCGATGTTGCCAAAAGTTGAGTTCGATGTATCAGTTAATTTTCGCAAAAAAAAATGAAATGATTAATATTTCAATGTTCGATAAAAGTAATTTGGATTTTGATGCAGAATTCAAAAATGATATAATATATAGGGTGTTACATTTCAAATTTCCAAGTTGATGTCTGTTACATGTAGATGTGGCAACATTGCGGTAACAAAAATACTTTCGAACGGTAGATCACAACCACTTACATCGGTAACAAAAATTTTGAACTCTCATCTTTTTTTGTTCTCTAGATACGTCTAATAGACCATCGAATATGAAATACCCTCTATAGACTAAAATAAAGTGACTGATCAGCACCTTATATAGGCCAGACAGGCTGAAATTTCACTATGAGATACCGTGAGCATGTATTACCATATGAAAAAATAAGCTATATATATGGGCATCTACAAGAAACAAACCACACAATGAATAAAGAAAACATGAAAAGTCTCCATATGCGCATATGTGCAATTAAAGGGGGATGCATTTGTTAAATTCAAAATTGAAAACCCTCAATGACCAACTAGAACTTTGCAGCTCTTTCCCCGTTTGAATTTGCGAACTTTGACAACTACTTAAGTATTCATTAATAGTTGGAGCAATCCACAAGTAGTGTTTTTGGATCAAAAGTTGATAATTTTGATATGTTATAAAAATTGAATAATTATTGTTTTGGTTTTGATAACAGATCATTTCTTTATTTCAGGTACCAGATGCACATTAACTATATCATTGTATATTTATTATCATGGATGTTAATATTTCGTATTGATATCCAACTTCTATTGTATTTCACTCCAAATAGTATTTGATTGTGAAAAACATAGAAAAGAAACTAAAATTAGAAAATAATAATCATCAAAATCGAAGCTGCTCCGGAGGTCTATTCATTGACGCGACTAGTAAAGGTTCTGTACATATAATGAATGTCAAATCTTTCATAAAATATTTTCAAGGCGTGGAAAATGGGCACCTACAAATTCCACCAACACTGACACGTTCAACGAAGCGCGTCCTCGCGAAAAAAAAGCTCTTTCAATAGTACAAAATCGATTGCACTCCAGCGCACATTACATCCAGTAGCCCGTGCCAAAAGCAGAAAAAACTCACCGCCGATAACCACGCTGTTTTGTTCTGATGCGACTTGCTGGACGATTTACTGCTGCTGGGTTTGTTAGTTGGCTTTGGGGTTGATTTGTTTGCCGCTGCTACAACGGCTTGCGATTGTCTCTGGGTCTGTTCCATTATTTGATGTATCAGATCGAGCTGTTGTTTGGTTAACCCGTCATTGTTGCCGCTGCTTCCACTCTGTAATGAAAACATGACGATCAATATTGCGATAATGAAACTTCATTACCGCCCGAAGGAGGTAAGCTGGTTTCGATAATATTTTTGTACAACGCTCACAAAGTAAAGAATAATTCTATTCGTTCCTTCATTAAAAATATGTTTCGAGGTGTATAACAATATAGAACAAGTTCTGATAAAAATACCAAATCCTTGCCTCTACCTACGATTTTGTAGATATGTATGGCATATAAAAGACGAGAATGATGTATCATAAGTTATCATTTTTTTAATTATGTATCACAAGTTATCATTCTTTTTCGAAAAATTGGATATATTAAAAAAAGTATTCTTATTATAATAGGCTTGGACTTTGATGTTTCCAAATTTGACTTTCATTTTGTTATTGAACAAGTCATTGAATTTTTGGTAAAAATGGTTTTCATGAAAGAAGAAAAAAGAAGAAAAGAAGAAAAAAGAGTTATGATACAAATTTATTACAAATACGATAGAAACAGTGTTGGAACATCGGAAATGTATTAACTTGTTTCCCGAAAAACGACAACCACATCGAACTATGTTCAAGTTATTGGTTCAGAGTTTGGTTCATTTGAAAAACCGAGGACAAAATACGGAGACAGAATGGACCAGGAAACTAAAGAAAATTTGATAAATGAGGTATGTTTGAGGTAAGTTAGATATTGTGTCCTTTTCAATGAACAAATAACAATAATTAACTCAAATGTGAAGACAAAAGTAAATCGCAGCAAATGCTCAAAATGCTGGCCTTGTTCATGATTACTCAACTGGGCCATTCTTCGAATATTATTCACTGCACGAATGATTTCCCTCCTCCTCAATCTTCCTTCTCAATCTCCTCAATATTTTGATATTCCCTCTGCCCATAAACTCTTATATACTCAGTATACCACATAAGAATGTACCCACAACACGTATGTCTGGGGACCTAGCCGGCCACCTCACCGGCCTATTATTCCCTATCCACGTATCACCAAACCTTTCAGTCAGGTAATTAGATACTCGTCTGGTAGTGTGCGGTGGAGCACCATCATGTCGAAACCAGATGTTGTTATAGTTAGCCAAAGGTAGATCATCCAAATAGTCCTCGAAAATCGACATTTAGAACTGGTTATTGGTTTCTCCATTCAGAATTCCGTCAAATTTCTATCTTTGTAAATCCCTGCACACACGTTGATAGTAAATCGCACTTGTGGTCAAATTTCTCGGAACTGCCTGGGGTTGTTTATGTTCCAAATGTGTTAGTTATTCGGTTGAATATTCCACAATTCGTAAAAGTACTTTCATCTGTCCAAATGACATGTGATTCTCGTCTTTCGGGATACAACTTTAAATACATTTCCGATGTTCTAATATTGTTCCTATCGTAATTGCAATAAATTTGTATCATATCTCTTTTTTCTTCATTCGTGGAAGCCATTTTTCGCCAAAAATTCAATGACTTGTACAATAACAAAATGTCATTGAGTGTAACAAAATGAAAGTCAAATTTAGAAACATCAAAGTCAAAGCCTATTAGGATGAGAATTAATTTTTTTCAATATCTTCAATTTTTCGAAAAAGAATAATAACTTATGATACATCATTGAAAAGGTAAAATCTGGTTCTATTCAAAATAGAAAGAATCCAATGTAGCGGCCATAAGAAAAATGAAAGTTGATGATTGTCGCCGGAAGACGAAACGGCGGATAGCAAATCTGAAAACACCATTATATAACAGGGAAAAAGTGGCAATGCGGAAGTGCAATTCATTTTCGAATCCTTCGAAAAAAGAAGCCAGAAAAAAATTAAAACTATTTTCCGAAATTTTTGTTTTTTCCGGATATCTCCGGATATACTTGGAATTTTAGAACTCAACGGCATATTGTTAGTCAGGTAAATACGCAATTTTGCCCCAATTTAACCATCTTCGTATCTCTCATAGTTTCCGAGATCCCGATGATGAGGATCGAATTCGAAACACCTTGTATAGGAAGACAATGTACAGGTTCGAGGGTGGTTTGGAAAGTTTCCGATGTCAAAATGAAAATAGCAGCACTTGTAAATAAAAGATAGTGAATTTCGGTGTAACTGATCAAAGTTTCAGCCATTTTGGATGTATAGTTGTTATGTAACAGTCGTTTGAATGAGTTGATATGAGTTAATTTATGAAAATGTACTTCAAAAGCACAAGTTGATGGATTATTAGAGCTGATAAAAACATCTAGCCAGTGGAAATTTCGGTCTTGAAGATCCTGTAATGCCAAACTATGCGTGGCTCAGATTGTTTCCCAACATTTATCGGTAATTCACTCAACACTGAAATGAGTTTGTGGTCAGAAGATCCCAATGGAGACCTAACGGTGACTGTGTAATGTTCTGGATTGGTTGTTAAGTATAGATCTAGAAGACTAGCATATTCTCTATCACGGCCAGGAATCCTGGTTGGATGATTTATAATCCGCATAAGTTCAATGATTATTGGAAAAGCCTCAGCATCGTGACCTTGTTCGTCCTTGTTATTTGAAAATTCGAGCCATTCGATATTGTGGACATTTAAGTCATCGAACATGAAGATTTTGGTACTGGGATGATTGATTTGCAAAAGTTAACGGTTTTTGCAGAAAGTCAACGGTTTTTGCCAGGCGAAGGTTAAATATATATATGTAGCAAGTGAAAAATTATTGAAACTACGGAAATAACCACATAAGTTGAAGAACTGGATGAATAGATACAAGATTACGGAAATAGTGAACATTCATCATTAGTAATTACACCAAAAAAAAAAGTTATTTAATACTAACATAAAATCGGAGTTCCGAAGACCAGATATTCAATCTGAAATAATACACCTCTTTACTGGTTTTCACATAATATTCCAGCAAAAAATAATTAAATTCTCCAAGTAGGAGAGTTTATTTTTTAAAAAATATCTTAAAATCTGAAATGTCCTGTATTTTCGAAGTAAGTAGTTTATTTAACAGTGAGATTAAGTTATATTTTGGTGAATCTTCAAAGTGTGTGGTGTTTTGCGATTTGCAATTCTCAGAAGATAACCATGCTTGGTTTCATAATTATGCGAGCTCAAATTAGATTCAGAATATGGGTTGTTGTTTTAAATATACATGACACCTTCGAAAATGTTAGATACTGTGATCAGAAGTTTTTGCGCAACAAATACTGGGCTACGACTTTCTTGGTAATCCACTCCAAAATCAGTCTTATGGTTCGTTTCTGCCGCCGGATGAAGATTCAGAAGATATTTTTTGTTCTTTCCCAACTCATGACGTGTAGTAAATGTATGAATATACCATGACATAGTAAATATACAATGAACCTGCAGTTTTTCATGCGTTTCATGGCAGAGAAGTCTTTAATTCTGTAGACACAATGTTCATGTGGGAATCCCAGGTGAGTCTATCGTCCAAGTGAACACCTAAAACTTTGTGATCTAAGAAAAAGTAAATGGTTATTTTTTTTCGAAAGAAAAAAAATATTTTCACTGTTTTGATAAAAATCGGTTTTGCTGACACCAAGAACTGAACTCCTTCATCCAATTTATCTTTCAAATCCTTTATCTCATGAAATTGTGACAGCTGTATCGTCAGAATATATTGTGCTATGCGTATCCTTGATGAACTGAATCATTTACATACAGAATAAAGATAAGTGTGGTCCCAAAATCGATTCCTGTCGCACCCCCAGTTGACTTGCATATGGATTGGATTTCACATCAATGCATCTTTGGTCTGTCATGTGAAACGACGAAATTGAAAATGTCCTGAATTCTCAGTAATGATATATCAATAGCTAAAATTCAGGGCATATCGTATCGAATGCCTAATTTCCTTACATTAGCGATTTCCATGATGGAGCTACATCAAATTTTGCATTAGAAGTAATGACCTATCTGGGTCTTATCCGTTAATTGGTATATTATATAGAGCTATTGTTTGGTTAACCTGTCACTGCTGCCGCTTCCTCAACTCTATATTGAAAACACGACGATCAATATTGTGATAATGCACTTCATTACCGCCTAGAGGAAATGCGAATAACTCAATAATATTTTTGTTCAACGCTCACAAAGAAGGCTGCATATTATGGAAGTTTTTCACGTTTAATTTTACACGATGAACTATTTTTCTAGTCTCTCTTATAGCAAGCTCCATTTCGAAAATGAACGATGAACAATAATGACTGAATGAAAGGACGTAAATAAAGTAAATAAGAAACCCTCCATGAAAAGCGCTGAAGGACACATAAAGGGAATATGAAATAAAAAATGTTAACGTCGTAGAAAAATGAGTTCCAGTTTGAAATATTCATGTAATCATTGAATGAACATTACAACAATTTCAGACATAATCATTCTAATTCTACCTGAGTAAGGAGGGGCAAGTTTTTGTACTAGGAGGAGGCATAAAGTCCAATATAAACTATAAGCAATTTATTGTGGTCTGTGAAAAATGCAATATTCAAAATGAGAAGTATATTTGGTGGTGTTACTCAAAATATTCGCCTCACACTGTTTGTTTGTATCAGAAAAATAACTTTACTTTGCCAAAGAAATCAATACTTCTGATGCAAATTCATCTCTCCCACAGCTTCATCACACTCCAGCACTTGGCAACCCACTGCCTGAACTGGAAACAACTTTAAGAATTTTTCCGTTCGTTCAGGACCTCGCTAAAATCAATCACCTACAGACCAATTTTGGAGTATTACCCCTCGTCGGTGTAAGACAAAACCAACCAAGGCAGCTGTGCTGTTTGGTACTCTTCATCATCAAGACTTCACCACAAATACGGAACATGCGTTCAAGAATAAAACCATTCGATCACAATGAAGCAGTGTCACCTCCACAAAAAAATAAACAAAGTTCACTATGTAATGGAGCACACAACAACACAACTTACTCTGAGGTATCAAATTACAATCCAAGGTTTTTTACCAATGGCAGTTTTCATTTCGATTGAGATGTGTTCATAGACTTCCCAATG